CCCGGTGTAAACTAAAACGTGGACCAAGCGTTCCTGTGCACAGCAGCAGGCTGCTGGGGCTTTGCTGCTTGCAGCCGGGAGTGACCTTTCCTTCTTCTTGTCTCAAACCAGATTTCTTCAGTCAGCACAGGCCGCTCAGGCCACCGAGGACGACTCCTGGAAGGACGGCTGTTACTGACAACCCGAAATGGCGAGGCACTGCCGACCGCCTCTGTGAAGCAGATCCCCAGCTGGCTGGGCGTGAGAAGGTTATTTGACCAGGGACCTCGAGAGCCCCATCCCATCGCAGCCCGCTGTACATAGTTCCTCTCCTCACCCCCTGCTGTTCTGCCCAGAGCCTGACCGCTCGGTGGTGGAACAAACTGCTTTACTGTGTTTCACTGTTCGAACCACGACTGAAATACGAGTCTTCCCACGAAGACTGAAAATAGCCTTATTTCACACAAACCTCGACTTGCAGCCCTCCGGAAGGCGTGTCACACACAACTTCTCAGGGGGCCGCTTGCTTGAAGAGGCCGCTGGTTGTCCTGTTTGTGCCAGAAAGCGGTGTTGCGCCGCCGCTGTGGCGCGGTACGTGGCAGTGGCGCGGGGAGACTAGGAGTAGTTAATAGGTGTTAGAAGGCAGACTTTTTAAATTCAACCTGATGTACTCTAATATTTGTCTGAAACTCAACTGTTTGGGATTTTTTTTTTTTTTTTTTTTTTTTTTTTTTTTTTTTTTTTTTACTTCTGTATAGAATGTATTTCTGCTACTTTTTATTGTTTGTTCTAGGAGATGAAGCAGGTTTTTATAACTGTAGTACACTTCCAGCTGTTGTATTCAGGTGTGTGCGCACGGTTCACCAGTGAAGGAGCAGTACACAATATTTGTGTGGGTGCAGGGACAGGGGATGCTGTTTACAAACTGCTGTTTATCAGCATCTTCATATCGCAGCTGAGGACCTTAACAAAAGCCGGTTAAAAGTGAACTTTTTAAACATACCCCTCCCTGACCGATGTGACTTGAAGTCTTTCAGCCAGCCCCGAACTGCCCTGACTTTTGTAGAAGAGGTTTTTTTTCTACTGTCTCTGGCTCCGAAGGATCCCCTTTCAGTGTCCTTGCCCCAGCAAGCGCTGGCTGCTATGAATACAGTCTTAGTACAGAAAAGATGCACTGACAGCAATGTTCTCCCTGCCATCAATGTGATTTTGATAGTGTAGTTTAATAAAACGTTATGGTGCTGAAATAGATCTGCTTTATTCCAACAGCGAGCCTGACTTTTGCGTGGTTTTTGCGCTAGGACTGAGGCTTTTTGCGACAGGCCCAGCCGTACAGAACTCTGCTGCTGCACTTAAAGCTCTGCGTAGGTAAATGGGCCTCCAGAAGTCGTCTCTTATGATGCCAGGATTGATGTTTACCTTTCATCCCCTTGGACAGCATCGGAGTGAGGTGGGTGTTAGCAAAGGAAGACTTAATTCACAGCATTAGTTCACATCTTCTCTAGGAGACCATCCACAAGTGGCCTAAGCAGAACAAGGCGTAGGAAAGGGCCACTTGCAAAGCGGAAGCTCTGCAGGATGCGTTACAGCAGAGAGCACTTTTTGCACCGTTTGCTTTAGAAAGGGGGAAAAAAAAAAAAAAGAGAGAGGAAAAGAGAGTTGGTGTCCAATTGCTGCTGCATCACCCGCCAGCACGGCAGGAGCTCTGAGCCCAAGGCTGGCCTTGTCACCGAAGCGAACAAACAGCTGCATGGCAGCAAGGCCTTCTTTCTCAGGTTCCATTCACTCATTCTAACAACTACCACTGTTTTACTATAACTACTTAAGCTAGAGCTGAACACCATTATTTTCCTGAAGTTGAAATAACCCTCTTCCACTTTGGAGCAGTGTTGTTCCACCTTGTGGGAAGGGCAAAAAGGAAGGTTCCTGTTAGGAGCGCTCCTGCAGCTGAGAGGCAGATGAGCCGGGAACAGAAACCTCCCTTCCGCCCGCGAGAACGGCAGAGATGACTGCTTTGACACAAACGGGCTTCTCCCTGCCCCGATGAAGCTTTGCGGGTTTACAGCGCTGTCCTGTGAAGGCTTTTCCTTTCTGGAGAGGGTTCTTTTTACTACCTCTGCCTGGTGGAAAAGCTGGGCCCTGGTCACGCTGAACTTAGTTACCTTCCCAGTGTACAGAGGCAAAGGACCAGCAACGCTCCAGGTCCGGTTCGCTGCTGTTTGAGAGTTCTCCTGGTGTCTTACCTTCGGAATTCAGAGCAGCCTGCATCTTCCAGGCAGGGCATTCCTCTGCAGCCTCCTAAGCCGAGACAGCTGCTGGTAGTTAATGGGTACTTAACAGACATTTAATGCCAGGTAAAGAACAAAAACTTTCTGGAAAAGTAAAATGTTTCAACAGCTTTAAGGTTACAGTGCAGTTAAAGCTCATCAGGCAGGCAATAGTGTTTCTGTGAGGATGCTGCCTGCAGCCCGCTGCGGCTACACAGTGCTGGGGAGACCAGAGGCTGAAGGGAGAAGCAAGCAGAACGGTTACGCAGGGCCTCACTCTGCTTGGGGTCACGGGCACTTTAAACGTAAAGCTGACACTGACGTGCAGGCGGCTGTCCCACTGCGGGAGGGGGCCGTGCATCAGGAACATTAAGCACAAACCCAGCTCTGTACGAACGATCACGCTAACGAGATGTTGATTTAAGTTTTATTCTTTCATTTTTCTAAGCCGTTCTCATACCGAGTGATCTTCCTTCAGGTTTTTATATTCTCTCTCATCCTGAGCCCTAGCAGATACCATTACAATGCAATTACCAAGATAACCAGCAACTGAACTTAAGCAGTTTCTGCAAGTTTAAGAGGGAATCCAACTCCCTCATACGCTTCTAAAACCCAACACTGCAGCAGCATTTAACGCCTCGGAGGCAGAGGAGAGGCTGCAGACTTCTGACGGAGAGGCTGCAGCGCAGGACAGCGGGCAGCGCAGCGGTCCGTATGGGAAACGCTTCCAGGAACAGGGGCTTCCTTCCAGCGAGGGCCAGGGAAGAGGGAAGGCAGCCCTTACTTGGGATTCCCCTCCAGTGGGGTTTTATATCACTGAAAAGTGCCTTAAATAAAAGTTTTCACACAGTTTTCATTTAGCTTCCAAGTGATAACACTGCTCCGCTGCCGGGGTCACCACTCGCCCTTCTCTATTCCCTCTGAGCAAGCGGGCACCCGGGCGCTCACGGACACTCCGCATTCGCAGCAGATTCTCCCCACCACCAGCACTAAGCCCCTGTCAAGGCACCGCTGGCTCCAGCGCCTGCATCAAAACAGAGTCAAAATCCTTCCAAAGCCGAGGTTTTATGCAGCCATGGTGGACGCTACAGAACTTCTGTCCCCAGGCAGCCAGGCGCGGGGAGAGCGAGCCCGGAGCGGCAGCGTTCCGCAGCAGCATTACACCAGAGCGGCTCCTACCGCCAGACCCACCTTTCACAGAACTAAAGCGCTTCACTTTCTGTACAGTAATTTTATTTAAATCAAGTTAACTTTGTTTTTACACTAATGCCTCAGTGCATCCTTTAAAAGGAAAGGATATATTTTCTTTAAAAAGTATTTGTACATAAGACAACAAATTATAGAAATGAACGCAGTAACATCAACGCGCCCTAGCACATGCACAATTGTACACCGAACCGTGGGGGGCTGTAAGAGGAGGAGGTAAGGGGAAGGAAATCTTTCTCTAAGCTTTACATTCAATTAACGCAGACAGAAAGAGATGCCAGTGCCCACAGTGCTGATCAGACCCACTGATGCTTTCTGGGTATCGAGATCTGATTACCCTTAATTAAATTTCAGCCTCGTAGAAGACAAATCCAAATAAGCACACAAGGTTAGAGGAGAACTCGTTATCCGGCACCCGCAGGAGAGCTGCAGGGGTCAGCGTACCGTACACCAAAAGCACGTGAAGGAGCAGCGGTTTGGTGTCGCTGCCGCGCCTGTGCCGCAGGGAACCCACGGCACCAACCGCGGTCACCAAATTAAGCCTCCCCTTCCCACACCCCGACGGCTTCCACCCACCACGAGGAGCCACTGGGCCAAAAAGAGGCAGCTCCCTTGCAGCCCGTCTGATGCTTGTACGAGACTTCGGGTTTCTGTTTCTCCTCTTGGAAGCGAGGCTGCAGGGCGCAGGAGCGGAGCCCTCCGCCCCTCGCCCCAGGCAGCAGCAGCTTTGGCTCCCGTCAGCCGGGACTGGCCCGATGTCGCTGAGGCCCAGCTGGGCCAGAAGCGCAGCGTTGGCGGCTCCCAGCAGCAGGCAGAGCCGCCCCTGTCCCAACAGCAGCGCACCTCATCCTCCGTTTGGTTGTTAGCCTCGGGTTTGGTTTGGGTTTAGTTTTTCTTTTCGGAGGAGTACGTGTGACTACATCCCCTGAAAGAGCCTTTCTTCTTCAGACCAGCGAGAAAGTCACCCCCCCTCAGCTCCAGCCTTCGCCCCTGCCCTGCCCGTGGAAGCGCAAGCAGCAGACACTCAACACCTTATCAAGCCAGATCAAGAGATTGGCCCCCGATTCACCTTAGCCAACGATAACATCAGTATTTGTTTTAGTCCATCCTCAAAAGAAGAACAGGAGAAATAACGTGTGAGAAAGCAGATACATTACTGCAACCATAACTATATGCAACCGCCTCCTTTACTGTATTGATTTAGCCACAAATTAAGGGAGTGGGAGATGAGGAAGAAGCGAGGATGAAGAGGCAGCCGTTTCAAAATGCCGAGGTGGCCCAACACCCTCTCCTACCACCTGCAGAAAGACCTCCAGGACAACGGAGATTTCGTGCAGAAGCAGCGGCTGCACCTTGCAGCACCCCAACGCCGTTCGCCATGCCACCACCGCCATCCCACTCCCAGCCTCTACGCATTGAACCGCTGCAGAACCACGTGCGGGGAGAGGCACCGGGATCTCCAACAGCTGTGGAAATTCACACTTACACCCACCTTGTCCCTTCGTTCGGCTCAGCCCACCCTGAAACTCGGGCAGCTGCCCACAGCACCGCTCACGCGAAGTGCAAAGCTACACGGACACACGGGCGAGCATGCACAGAACCCTCCGGCGCCGGAGGTACCGCCCGCCCAGCTGAGAAGGTTGTACTTGGGACAGAAAAAGAACCAAAAAAAATCCCTTCAAGTAATTTAAAACAGCCCCTTCTTGAGGTGTCAGCTGCACAGAAGCAGTGACCAGCTAGGCCTGTTTGGGGTGATAAGGCAAAAACGTCTGAAGTCTTGGAGGGATGATGAATGAGAAGGTGTCAGTAGTGAGAGATTAAGAGTTACTCCGTAGGTTGCTTCTTCACACTCTTGTGATTCCCATCTCCAAGCGACCAGCACCACCTGCCTCCAGTTACTTCTGCACGCAGCTCGGCCACGCCAGCCCACCACAGGCAGCCGACAGAATGATATAGATGATAACCTGGAGGGAGAAAACGGCCACTTCAGCAGAGGACTGCACTCCCACCGTTCAGTCAGCTGCCAGCTTGGCCTGGCAATCAAAACACAAGCTTGGCAACCCCAGGTTATCAAAACCCGAAATAACTTGTCAAAGGCCGGACAGGACTTGGTGCCAGCGCCTCTTCCCCCACAGCCGTGCAGCAACGCGGGGACGAGAACTGTGCTCCAGCAAAACACGAAGGAGGGTTCGGTGGTGACAAAGCGCCTCACACATCCAACCTGCCGTTGCACTTCAGTGTCCCCGCGTTAGCCCTGCTGGCACTCACCGCAGGCTAGGGGCGCACCACCACGTCGAAAAAAAACACTTCGAAGTTAAGTGACAAGATACCGACAGGGGCAAGGCCTCAGAAGCCATTTCAGATCAAACAGCCGTGAACTCCATGCCTTAGCCTCTAATGGAGCTGGCAAGGCAGCCGCCTGTGACAGGCCCTCAGAAGCGGGACAGCATTGTCTGGAAAGCTTTTCCTATCGCCTTGACAAGAAAAGCTGCCTGGCACGATGCTCCTCTCTCCTCACCGCACGCAAGACCATCAAAACACTCGTTTTACAGCTAAAACCCTTCCAGGCACAGGGCTGAGTGCACGCGGGTCTAGAGACAGTAATGCGCTACTGGCATTTTCCAGGAGTTAAGCCTGACTTAAGAGTTAAAGGTTACTGCGCTCCATACTTACAATTGATACAATGATGATGACAATAGTTAGCTTGAGGTTCTTCATACACATGGCTCTAGCAAGGTTCCTGCTGGTAGTTTTGAAAGTGACTGACTACAACAGAAAGTAAAACAACTAATTAATTCCTGACCCCGCTGCAAAGGAAGCTGCAACCCAAGAAGCCAGGCTGTTCCCAGCTGCTGCCTCCCTAATAACCCCAACCGCTGCAGCTCTCTCCTCCACAGACATTTACCTCCCGCCGTCACACGAATACAAAACTCAACAGGCATCAAGAGAAAACTCTCCCACGCTACTTCAGGGGCGAGACAAAGCCTAAGAGCAGCCCAGAACCAGCTCGGGGTTGTGCCCTCCCACGCTCAGCTTGGGAGAACTGAAGCCAGCACATCACCAGGTCTGCAGGCTGCCCGCAAGGCTAAGTTTAGCTGAGAGTACTCCTGCCGGGGTTCTCTGACTTCCAGCCTTTTGGGAACTGAAGTGCTCCAAAATATTTATGGAACTACTGCTCTACTCACCAACACAGTGCGTGCAACTTTATGACTGTAAATACACCTGCTAAAATGAGACAACCCACATTGCTACTCTTGACAGCAGTTCCGCAGGGGCTAGACAGCTCCTTTGATGCTAGAACTTCCCTCCAGTATTTATAGAATCATGGAATCGTTTAGGTTGGAAAAGACCCTTAAGACCATCGAGTACAGGCATTCAACCAG